CCCTCGGCGCATCGCGTCAGCCACGCCGTCCAGCGGGACTTTGAGCAGCGGGAGCCCTACAACTACCTCCAGGTGGCCTTCTTCCAGGTGGGCTTGCCCAGACAAGGTCCTGAGCAATCTGATCGAGCTCTGGAGTCAGCCCCGCTGTGAGCAGGGCGTTGGGCTGGAGACCTGCAGCAGTCCCATCCCATTTAAATCTTTCTCCGCTTCTCAGCAAAAATAGCATGCTGGTTTTGTGTTGGTGCTTCCCAGGTAGCTGCTGCAGGTTTGAAGGAGTCCAGAGGGTGGTACGGTGCAGAGCACTGTGAGGCTTTGCGGATGGCCACCCCTTTGTGCCTAGTGAGGTTGGCCTGACACGTGGGCTGTCAGGGACATGGGACCCGGAACACAGTCATGCTGTGGATGAATCTAGGTCACAGCATGGGCTGGGCAAAGTGCTGGGTACAGGTGGGCCTACCCAAATACCCAGTGTCATGGTGCTGAAGCTGGTGGGAACAGCTGGGGTGAAAGGTGGGGCTGAAGGGAAGTGGGTCTGCCTAGTGCACATGGGCATGTTACATGTGCTGCCTTTTCTCTGCAGCTGAAGAAGCTGGATCAAGCCGTATCCGCAGCTCACACGTTCTTTGTCGCAAATCCCCAGCACCTCCAGATGCGTGAGGACATAGAGAAATACCGCCGTATGTCAGGAGTGAAATCAGACAGCTTCCGGGATCTGGAGGCCACACCACTCTGGGTGAGGGCCTAGTGCAAAACTGTGTATTTACAGACATAGCATGGCTTGTCACACATTCCCAGGGACCAGCCTAGGGCCCTGCTCTATTTCCACACAGGGGTCATGGCCTGAGATGGGGTATCCATACACCAGTGAAGGCAAACTGTTGCAAGGCTGACATGGAAAGAGATTTGATGGTGGCAATTACAGCAGGCTGCACTGCCTTGGAGAAGTACTTTTGGCACACGTCCAGATTTGCTGTCACTGCATGGTGGGTTGTGCATGATCCAAGCGGGCCCCTAGATGTCAGCACTATCCTATGAGTGACTTGAAGTCTCAGGGAGTCCTTTGGTGTCACCTACACTAACAAGGGGCCTGGTCCTCTCCTTTGCAGGAGGCGTATGAGGCTGGGGTGCAGCACTACGATGCAGATGAGTACCTGCAGGCTGTGGCCAGGCTGGAGGAATCACTCAGAGAGGCGCTCTCAGCACTGGAAGAGTGTCGTGCCCTTTGTGAAGGACCTTGGGAGGAGGAGGAGGAGGAGGTGGAGGAGGAGGTGGAGGAGGAGGTGGAGGAAGAGGAGAAGGAGATGCAGCCTGGCCTCTATGAAGCAATTGCAGGTAGCGTTGGAGGCACAGAGGGGTGGGTAGGAAGGCCATGCTTCCCAGTCTGGACAGGCCCCATCTCCCAGCACTCCTGTCTGGCAGATGGGGGAGCTGCTGGCTTTCATGCTGCTCTCTCTTGCAGCCCATTATGTCCAGGTCTTGAAGTGCAGACAGCAATGTGTGCTTGAAATTGCCACAAAGCCGGGGCGGATTTCGGCCACAGAAGACTTCATACCCTCCCATCTTGATTTATTGCAGTTTGCCTACGATCAAGGTGAGCAGAGCCACAACCCAGTGGGCATTGCTGTAGCACCCCTAAGCTTGCCCCTGTCCTCTGGACCTGGAGAGCAGCATATCATGGGGAGAAGTGTAACACTGTCCTGAGCTCTACCTGTCTCCCTCCCCTTCTGCCCCCTCTATCCACCTCTCTGGCCAGAACCTCTTCTCTTGCTCAGGCCCAAGCCTGAGATCACCTTTGGAGAGGTTTCCCATGATCCACTTCTGTCTCTCTGTGCAGTTTCTCTAATGTGTTGCCATTCCCACTGTGTATATGGACAAATCTTTCCTCCAGAGCTCTCCATTTGAAGTCCTAGCTCCAGCCATCTGCTCTGTCCAAGCTATGTATCTCATACTCTTCTTTCCAGTATGTCACTGTTTCAAGTGCTGCCTTCTCAGGCTCCCACTTCTGATCTAGAGCACGCCCTTGCATCTCATCTTAACAGCGATGTCCCTTGTGAGTCAGCCCTGCCTGCTCTAGCTGAGCTGATAGCCTGTCATGACATGGGTCATCCTGTCACCCTGTCACTTTCATATGTACCTCAGTTTGTCCCTTGAGCACTTCTACTCCATCCCACACTGCCCCATGCAGCCTGTCTGACCCAAATGGCTGTAACCTCATCTGTCACTGCCCTTCTTCCTCATATTTCCTTTTCTTCTCTCTCAGTCCCCTCTGAACAAGCCCCCAGTAAATATTGAAAGTGGGCCCATTCTTCACCAGGCTCATTCCCTGTATCTCTGCTCTCTGTCCTCTGTTTGGTAGAGGCCTGGCTAGGCAGGGAGGATGTGCATTCAGGGCCACACCTCCAACTGCCAGATTGTGACTGGGACTTTGCGTGCTGCTGGCCTATACACATTTAATGCTAACATCAAGGCTTTCAATGACCTGTCTGTTTGTTCTGTTCTGTCCCCGCTCAAGTTGGAAACCAGACAATGGCTGCTGAATGTGCTGCTTCCTACTTGCTCTTCTATCCCATGGATGAGCCAATGTTGGAGAAAATGAATCAGTATCGCACAGAACTGGGGGAGGACACAGCTATCACAGCCAGAGAGGTAGTTACAACCCTGAGTCTCTACGTGCTAGCCCTCCCTTGTCTCCTACAACTGGACCACCGGTCCAGGAGACAAAAAAGGGAGTGTGTGTGTTTCACTGCAGATGTGTGCCAAGCCCAGGACTAAAAAAACCTGATCCTGAGTTTGCTTATAGTCTATACCAGACAGAATCCCTCCAGGACAGAACTGGGCTCCTTTAGTCCACAGCAGTGTGTTGGGGCAGGTTTCCGCCCTGGACAGGGATGGGATTATCTTTTGTGGAGTGGTTACCTGACAGCCTCTTTGCCTCCTTAGAATATTCAGCATTACGTGCAGAGATCTCTGATGGAGAAGAAGTTGATTTACTATGCAGTGGAGCATCTAGGAGGAACTTTTAATGACCCTGTAAGTAATTATATTATCTTAATCTTCCTGCCCTAATTTCATTAAGAAAGTTGCTAGGCCTCAATTCAATAGTACATGATCCACAGAGGATCAGATGCTGATAAGAAGGACCCCAAAATCCTTCCGATGTGGATTTTTGAGGGCTTTCTTCTGCTCCAGGACTGAAAATAGTTGAAAATTCTTGCTGTAACTGTATGTATTAGCCCAATCTGACTGGCCTCAGAAGCATGTTAGAGCCGTTAGTCTGGTCTCCCCTGGAGAAGGGGGACAAGGAACTGGTTGGTTAACGTGATCCAATGTGGGAGAAGTTTGCTGGGTGCTGAACCTTCTGCATTTGTTCCTATAGGATCTTTGGACTCCAGATGAGCTTATTCCTGAAAAAGTAAAGGAGCAACACAGGTAAGGTTGGCTGAGTTGAGTAGGAAATGGAAATGCTGGAGGCAGGAGGTGGGGTTGGACTGGCAGGGTCCACAAGGGTAACAGCAATACCTACTGAGGAATGGGTAAAACAGGAACATGAAGGGTGTGAACAAATGAACACAGAGAAGGGCTAGGTGTAGCTCTCTGTACTGACAGCTCTGATCTATGTTTTTTCCCTTGCTCCCGAGAGAGGATCAGGAGAAGCAAAAGCAGGAGACTCTGGATGTGGAAGAGAGGGAGAAGAGGGGTGAGTAACAGACCTCAAAGAAGGACTAGAATGCAGTCAGCCAGGCTAAGTGCTATCTCTTCTTCCATCTTCAGGCATTTGAATGCTAGCATAGATGCACACTGACTTGAATGGCTCAGCAAGTCTTCTCACTGTTTCTTTTCTCCCTCTTTGATGCATGAATAAACTTGCAGAATTTTGCTGCGTACACCTGTGGGATGGGAACCCAAAGAGCACTGTGGCTGGAGAAGCTCAGACCAGTGCTGCCTGGATATATGACAAGCCTATGGACATGTAGATCCCTGTTCAGTGCGGCTGGCATGGACAGGCAGGAGGGTCCACACCAGACCTGGTTCAGCTCCACCAGCCCAACACCAAACAGCATTTTTCTGAAGGGGACAAGGAGAAAGAGGGGAAACTGGAAACAGGCTATTCAGCTTGAGCAAGTTTTTCCCTAAAAGAAACAAGCCCGGATGGATTGTGGCCGAATGCTACAGGCTGCAGTGCAGAGTCCTTTATTCTTGCTGGTCCTATACTCTCGTGTGTGGACACATAGCCTCTTGCAGGGCTCTGTCTTGGCATCTTTGCTCCAACTGACCCTCCAATGGTTCTCTGCTGTGGCATATGGGAGAGCAGATCATCCTGAGGGTCTGAATGAGGGCCTTATTATTTCTTGGCATTCCTGACCATTCAGAGGTCAGAGAGGGGAAGAAAAAACACCTGTTGCATCAAGTCAGCAGCTAATAGCCATTGCTTCTCTTCGGGCTGAAGAGAGTAGAAAGATGCACTAGAGATACTTCTAGGATAAGGTGCATGATTGAAAGGAAGGTTGATGGAGGTGTTTACCTGCTTCTTTTCTCCAGAGCCTCACCCCAGGAGGCTGGACATGTTCTGCTGCTGTGATCCACAGTGCACTCAACTCTCCCCAGCTCCCTGCTTCTCTCCCAGCACGTCCCAAATTTCTGCTGCCTTCTGAAGCACTCACAGTAGGCCAGCTCATGCTCTGGTTCCCCGATGCATGCAAGGGGTGCAAGTGGCCCAGATCTGCGAGGGATGGGCGGCTCTGCGGAATGGTCCTGTCTTCCTCCAGAACGTATAGTGTCTCTCCTCCACTTCCTTATCCAGACTGGGGGTTGGTTAGCTGAGGGCTTCTTGTCCATCCCTATCTTGCTTGCTCATCCCTATCTGTACATGCTTTTCCCACAGGTTCTTTGCCTTTTGATGGTGTCACTGTTACCATGGACTCCCGTCAGATGAATGGAACCCAGAGGGTTGTGTTTGACCAAGTCCTGACAGAGTCTGAGTGTAGGGATCTTCTCCGGCTGACAAAGGTGAGGCCTGAGTCCCCAAATGCCCTCTCCTTCTCAGCAGATAGAGCTGTAACGTTGCAGTGGAAGAAGATGGCAGCCTCGTCTGTGTCTTCTCTATCCCTCTATTCCAGGCAGCTGGAGGAACTGGAGATGGCTACCGGGGAAGACGGTCCCCTCACACGCCACACGAGAGATTTGAAGGGTTAACTGTTCTGAAGGCCATGCAGGTAAGTGGCTCTCTGAACCTCCCATTTTCTTGGTTGCCATAAAGAGTGTTTATCACCTAACCTTTTTTCTCTGTGTTATCTTCCCCACAAGCACATTTGCAGTTTCACCTGACCATCTTCCTCCACATTCATTTTTAGGCACATTGTACATGGAGGGTTTGACATGTATCTTCTCTCCTACAAGGAAGGGTTTTAGGGTCGCTACTTGTCCCAGTGGGATAGTCTTACAGACATGTCTTCCTTAGAACTGCATTTAATATTTAAGATTTAACTGCAAGATTTAAGACAGAAGGGGCCTCTGGAGATCTCTAGTCCATCCCCTGACCACAGCATGGCTAAATCCAAAGCTAGGTGAGGTTTCTCAGGGCCTTGCACAGGCAAGTCCTGAACATCTCCAAGGGTGGCGATTACCCAGCCTCTCTGGGGACATGTTCCAGTGCTGAACCACTCTCAGGGAAAGAAGTTTTTCCTTATATCTAGCCAAAATTTCCTGTGCTGCAACCTAGGCCCGTTGCAGCTTGTCTTTTCACTGTGTTCCTCTGAGAAGAATCTGGCTCCATCTTCTCTATAACCCCCCTTTAGATGCTGAGAGATTGAGGTTAAATCCTCTCTCAGCCTTTTCTTGGCTGAAAAAATGCAGCTCTTTCAGGTATTTCTTATAAGTCACGTGCTGCAGCCCCCCAACCATCTTAGGGCCCTGCACTGAAGACTCACTCCCATTTACCAATATCTCTCTTGTATTAGGGGGCCCAAAACTGGACACTGCATTCCAGATGTGGCCTTGTGCACTGAGTAGAGGGAAAGAATGACTGCACTGTATGGGTGCACTCCTGACGTATGTTTACAAGAGAAAACATTCTTTTCTTGCATATGCGTGGCCACAAGACTTTATGCAGGTGTTCCTCTGTAATATGTACATCTGTCATTTCTACGAATGTCTTTGTGTGTCTTAGAGCGCCTTTCTGACAAGCTTATTTTTCACTTGCAGCTGGCCCAGAATGGCGATGTGGACTGGAAAGATGCCAAATTGCTTCTGCAGGCCAGTGAGAAATCCCGGAAAATTATAGAGTCCTATTTTACCCCTGGGAAGAAGCTCCATTTCTCATTCACACACCTTGTATGCCGCACAGCTGTGGAGGGTAAAGAATCCTTAACCCTGTTTGTCCCTTTCCCCTGGAGACTCTCCTTCCCAGTCCCAGCCATGCCCTCCCAGGAGACTCTTTTCCCTTTACTCTCAATGTGCCCCTCTCTCTGCCTTACTGTTTCTTTAAACTGAAATGCATAGTCTTTCCTGCTACTTCCCTCTTCAGGGGAACAGGAAGGCCGCATGGATCTCAGTCACCCAGTCCATGCTGACAACTGTCTCTTGGATCCTGAAGGGAGCGAGTGCTGGAGAGAACCACCTGCCTACGTGTACAGGGACTACAGGTAAGATAAGAAGGGAACCTTAATTGGAGTGTGCGGATATCAGAACATCTCCCCAGCCCGATCAGGGGATGAGCTCAGCTGGCTGATGAACTCCAGCCATCATATACAAACCAGGTGATGGAGGAGGCCTTAGCTCAAAGCCAGCTAAGCCTGTACCATCAGACAGAGGGCTGCATGAGCAGCTTCAGCACAAAGTGTGAAACACCTCCCATATGTTCGCAGGAGGGCCTGCCTTTCTCCCTCCTCCTTCCCTGCAGCCAGCATTAACAGTTAGAGAGCATCACTGGGCTGGGAGACTGTCTGGATCTAGAACCATGATATAAATTGTCTTTTGGCGGGTCTACTACAGTACTACAGTCCACTCCCAGCCCTTATGACAACCTATTTCTTTTAATCATGTTCTGCCTTTCCCTGTCTCTTTCTGCCCCATTGTCCATGCGTTATAGGACATGGAGAACTGAGGTCCTTGGATTTCCTTCGCTTGAGCAGCAGTCAGTGTACTTCCGTGACTATCTTCTCATTCATCTCTCTGACGCTTCGCTACCAATACTTTCTGTTGGGTTTTTCCTTTCCATGTCAGAGGTTTTCCCAGTCTGTGGCAGGTTTTGTTACTCTTCTGTGAAGGAACTTGAAATATGTTTTTAAGACAGTAACAAGTGCTGTACACTGCAGCCAAGTGAGGCCAGTCCCTTACAGTTTATTCCCCCTCTTCACCGTCACTGGGCATCTGACAATCTTACTTGCCTTTTCTTCGGCTGGCAGCTACGCCTAGAAGAAGTCTTCTCTGAGCAGCCTGTCATAGGGACATGGAACTTGGAGGGAATTCCGGTATCATCCAGTCTTTTTCCCTTCTGCCATAAATGTTGACATGGTTTAGTCCGATTGTAAAGTTCCATGGTTCTGTCTTATAACTGGTTAGACCTCTGTTTCTCCTGCGGGAAGGCTGCCCTGTCACCTCACTGCTCCCTGTGTAGTAGTCTTCTCTGACTTCTTCCTGAATGTATCCTTAAACATTATCCTGGGGTCTGTGCCCTTGAATTATTTCTGGGAGTATTCTTGTCCTCTTGCAGAGTGAGGTATGATAGACCAAGCAAGCCACAAGGGTTAAACTCTTCCGGCATCCTTTTTGAGAGAGGCCCCTATGCTTCAGACCATCTGAGAAGGAAAAAACTTCCTGGATCTCTTCTGTATATTTGTGCTGTGGTCATTAATGAAAATATTAATCAAGATTGGGCCCAGAAGCCCAGGAGTTCCAGTAATCCTCCTCCTGGCCAGTAGTCGCCCTTTAGGAATCACTCCCTGTGTACCGTTCGATGTGTTCTGTTCACGGGCTCTTCTTCACCTGCTCTGTGTTTGTTAGCTATTTCTCTAGCAGCACCATTCTGAATGCTTTCACAGGGTTCAAACTGCTAAAATTGAGCATGTTATCCTTGCCTGGGAAATAACTGTTCTGTCAAAGATAGTGTGACTGACCCAATCTGCTTTTAATAAACCTATGTTACATTTTAAGATCATTTTCCATTTACATCTTGTCCTTCAGTTATCCTTCTCGGAAATAGATTATGAAGCCCTGCAGACTGCTGAGGTCAGACTACAAGGCCTATTTATGCTTTAGCCATTCTCTTCACCTTCCTGCCCCTTCTTATATGTAAGAGCTATCTTTGCTTTCCTGTGTTACCACCCTGACTTCACAGTCTCATTAACCCCTATGCTAAAAGAGCTCTAATTTCCTGCGCTTCAGAGTTTGTAATCCTCTCATTGTCCGTACATCCTTAACATTTTGCTTCAGCCCTCAGAGCGGTGATTTTTATTTCGTATTCCCAGTCCCAGTTTGTGGTTCTTATTTTCATCCTAGCTGACTGTGGTCTCACCTACGCTGCTTCTCCTTTTTTCTAATATGAGTAAAGAAATTTCTTGTCTTAATTTCCCTTTTGGCATGTGCCAAGCGTGTTTTTGACCATTCTTATGTTACCTTCTACTCCTTGACTCTTAAGACATGGCTTTCCCTGGTTGATCAATCTCTTCTTCTAGGCCTTAGATTATTCCCAATATTGAAACACAAACAAGGTCATGCCAGGTCTCAACTGAGGTCTGCCTAGCACAGGGTGCTGTTACAACAGTGCCTCAGATACATGCTGAAGAGTATTAAAAAAACAGGACAAGGATGTAGAGCTACCTCCCTGGAGTACTGTCCCAGCCCTCTGTGGTATGTAACTTGGGGACTTCTCTGAGCATCGCTGTATTTAACAGCCCCAGATGGATTCTCCTAGTAATTGGCTTAGTCACTTTTTGAACCTGTGGAATCATTCAGGCTCCACAGCCTCCGGTGACAAGGAGAGTGAGGAAGCATCTGGGGTTTTTCAGTCTGTCAGCCACCTCTGATGTTCCTAATTCTCCTATAAAAGAAAAGTTGGTAATTGGTTGGTCCTTATTCTCCTTCTCCACAATACCCATTGACTTACAGACCTTTGTTCTCTTGTCCTTTCATGGCCTCTGATGAGGCCTGTGCTTTCCAGGCATTCCTTGTAAGGAAGCCATTTCATAACTTTTGATCATCTCTGTTGCCCTTTTCTGTTCTTTCTCCAGTTCTGCTGCTTTATAGCTGAGATAGGAAAGGCAGGCTTGAACCCATCATGCCAGGTGTAGACAGCTCATTGTGGATTTATACAGTGGCATAGTGATGGTGTGTTCTCTGTTCCCTTCCTTGTCATTCCCAATGTTGTTTATTTTTCCACCACCACTGAGTTGACTTTTTCATAAAAACTGTCCAATGTAAACTCCAATCTTATGTATAAGCACTGAAGGTCAGCTCAGGGTCTGTTATTGTTAAGAGTATTTTCTTTTCCCTGACACATTGCTTTAAGTTTATTATTTAATAAATGAATACAACAAACATTTATTTATAATCAAATTAACATTTATAGAAATATATTAGTATTTATAATAAAAATAAAATGATGTATTGATGTTACTTTGAATTTACTTGAGTGGATTTTCGTCCACTTGGGTGTGCAACTTTTTCCTAGCAGTTCGTTTTTTCTCTAGTGTGCTATACAAATCACAGGTTGTTCACATGCCTTTGACTTAAAGAAATACTGTATTCAGATCGCTCTGCTGAATCAATTCATGATCACTCATTCTGAAGTTAATATGCTCTTCTGGACTGTGGGGAAAATGAATTTATTATCCTGGAAGAGTGATGAGTAATTTCATTTTTCCTTCCAAGGACAACTGTTTTGCACTTATATGCTGTGAATTTCATTTGCATTCCTATTCCCTGCTCACCCAGCTTCTTCATAGAGCCTCGTGAACTTTTCTGTCCTTGCCAAATCCAAGTAATGCTGTGTCATGTCCAGATTTTTACCACTCACCTTGCTATTCGTGTCTTTTCCAGATGATTCATTCAGGTATCAAACACAGGATCAGGGACAGGACCATGAGGTTCCTGCTAGTAACCTGTGGCAAGGATGAAAATTGACCGCTTCATTCCACATCCATTTCTAATCCATGCCAGCACCTTGCTCTCACCCCCAAGACAACTTGTTTTATTAGCGGTATCCCATGATAGCAGTTGTCAAGACATTTTAAAGACCTAAACAAACAAAAGAGAATTCAGAGAACTGTGGTTAGCAGTGGGTCAGGCAGATTTTCTGGTCTGGGTAAACTGTATTGTATCTCCCAGATGTTTTGTTCTTGTCTTAAATTACTGTTCCACCAGATTTGCTAAATACGGCTGCAGTTTGACCCTAGCAGGGCTCAGGGATGAATGAGCTTCACCATCCATATATCTTCTTTCTTTTTGTCTGCAGTGGCATTCTCTATCTCAATGATGACTTCCAAGGTGGAGGCCTTTTCTTCACTGAACTGGACACTGTGACTGTCACAGTAAGTCTGGAACTTGGCAAAGGAAGGAGAGTGGACTGAGGGTGAGATTTAGTCCAGGTGGGCGGAAACTAGTTGGTTGTTGGACCACACCACTCCAGAAGCAGGTAATGTGGCAGATTCAAATTGGAGCAACCAAAGGCAAATTGAGGCAAATCGCAGCTAGAGGAGAGATTAACTCCTTTCTAGCTGAGATGTCCCAGGCTCTTACAGCCTGTGGGTGTCTGTGACCCCTGTTGTCCCTTTGGTTCTCTCTGTCCCTCCCCTGGGCTCACTTTCCCCATAGATTATAATGCCTAGCAGCCCTTTGCCGTTCCACACCGCCACAGTCAGCATGATCTCTGTAGAAGGACAGCACTCCCCAGGGCAGGGAGCTGCCAGCTTCATTGTCCCTTCTCTCTCCTGGCAGGCCAAGGTGTATCCTAAGTGTGGGAGGCTGGTAGCCTTCAGCTCTGGCAAGGAGAACCCACATGGCGTGTGGGCCGTGAGCCATGGGAGGCGCTGTGCCGTGGCTCTCTGGTATACGCACTCCCAGGAGCACGCAGAGCAGGTAAGGGACCATGCTGGAGAACAGATGCAAAGGCCTCCAAGCTGGAGCAAATCTCTCTGGGGAACAGCTTGTGGGTTTTCCTGACAATCAGGGCCTCGTGCAGGACCTGGTGGTTGATCTCTGACAGGGGTTGGGTGCCCTGTGGAGGGGCAGCCTGTGGTGAGTTCCGCAAGACAGAATGGGCTCTAGGGCATTGAACGGATGTGGTAAAGGCAAGATATGTCTTGCAGGCCCACACGGGCAGAGTGGAGACCCCAGCAGGGAAAGGTTCCCATCATCTCTATCTCCGTTGCTGCAGGAGAGGGTGAAGGCAGAGGAGCTGATGGAGCAGAGGGCTGTGGAACAAGGCAAGCCAGACAGACAACTACATCAGGGAGCCGATCGCAGCAGCAGGTCCTCATCAGAGTCCTCCATGCCCAGTGACAGAGCCAGGCCCACAAGCCGGAGGCACAAACCTGGCTCCAATGGGGCACAGCGCCCCAAGGAGCTGCGACCCAAGGACGAGTTCTGAGTGCACAGAGTGCTGGGGCAGGACTGGCACGCACAACAGCCTGGCACATCTCAGTAGTGCTGGCACCACCGAGGCCTGGAGCAGTTTATTAGCATGCTAGAGTCATAGTGATAGGGAGGGATGTAGCTTGCTTCTCCGTGACTTCCTAGAAGATGAAAAATGGAAGCAGGGACAGCGTATTAAAGTCAGTGACACCAAGATCTTTCTTCACTGCCTCGCCGACATATTTGTGTCACTTGTCACTTCTTTCAGTGCAAACTTTTTGGTCATACGGGACCAAACCAAAGAGGAGAAAGAAGGGCCTAGGGGCTTTTGGGAGCAAGGGCTATCTCACATTCAGGAATTCAACACGGAAGCATCTGAATGCCCTAGGTACCTGCAAACTCCAGAGCCTTGAGGTTGAAAAGAGAGAGGGAAGGTGGGCAAATGTGAATATATGGAATAAAAGCAAAATGCTGAACAGAAATGTTGGCGGGAGTTTGAGTCTGTACTCCAGGAGGGAGACATACACACTGATTGTACATGGAAATTTAATTAACAAATGATGGGGGGAGATTGAGCTCTCAGTGAAGGAAGACAAACAAAGTGTTTGCCCAGATGCCAGCTACATCCAGTAAGGGAGAGCATAGGCAAAAGTAAGTTCCGCCAGGACTAACCCATAGAAAGCGTAGGAAGTGCTTTCAAGAGAAAGCACTGTACACTCTTGTTTCCCTGAAGCAAGTCCTGTTGTTTTTTTCCTTCCATGTGCCAAATATTCCCTGGAAGCAGAAGAGATGTTTTGTTTATCATTTTTCAGGCTGATATACAGACAATCTGCTGTCACTGCCCAGGGGATTAGTGTCCAGAGATGGGATTATTTTGTAGCCAAACAGGAATTGGTTGGGACAGATATGGAGTATAAAAATGAGCAATGACCTTATTCCTGGGAATGCTTAAAGCCAGAGACCAACCTATGGTCATGAAACATACAGGCCTAGATGAGAGTTGTGCAAGGAGACCACAACTACAGTGGGGAAGGGAAGAAGGTACAAGAGCCGGGGCCCATGGTGTGAGAGGTGGATGGATGTTCTCCTCATTGCTGTCAACCTAAGGCCCCTGCCCAGTGGAAGCTGTTGTGTTTAGCCCCATCCTCGTGAGTGCTAGTGGAACAGGACTGAAGCAGCGACTTCCTTCTCCATTCTGAAGCTTGGCCCCTGCTTTACCATGGGGAAATCTGTGCCAGCAGCCCTTCTTGCCTCCCATCCTCCCCAAGATGACAGCCCAGAGCTGAGAGAAAAAGGAAATTCAGTGTGGACACGTGAAGTTTCTTGTCCTGGGCAGGAAATCCCACCAAGTCCTAGCACTTTTATGTCCTTCCCTGAGGACTGACATGGGGGTTCTGGGTGGATCCTTTTTGGTGAGTCCATGCTGGGCAGGGGTGAGGGGCTGGTGTCTGCAGTTCTGGCTTGCTCTGCATAAAGGCGGCCTGGGTGATTAGACTGATGGCCTCCTGACGTCAGATGAGATCCGTTAAAAGGTATTTATCTCAGGCTTGGGCCAAAGCCGCGGGAGAGATTAACAGAGATTGAGGCCAAGATAATCCCATCGCAGCATCCCACTAAAGTGGCTGCCAAAAGGCCTGCTGCTGAAAGCTTTTGCCACCACAACCCCTTTGTCCGGTTGTGTTTTCCCCAAGCAATGCTTGGTTTGCCACCCAGAGACGATGTGAGCCTGGCCCTGCCCACTATGGGTTTTCCCTTGGCAGGGCCACAGTGGGTGGCACCATCCCTTCTTCCCACGCTATCTGGGGCGTACGTGGTATGCTGTCCGTGGGAGAAAGGGCATTGCTGTGGATTGTGAGGTGCAGCAAGCTCTGCCCCGGAGGTTTATAATCCTCGCCTGTTCTGGCTAATCTTCACTTTATTAGTTTGTTGCTAATATAAACAGAGGGAGTCAAATCTGTCTGTGATGGTTTCTTTCCCTTCAGGAGCAGTATGTTACTCTCTCTTTTCACCCCTCCCCATCCACCTGCTTTGCATTACATCCCAATCCGATTTCCCCAAGTCTCTGGTGTCTGATTTAATTTGCCTGACGCTGCTCCTGGAATCAGCCCTCCCCCAATCCCTCCTGACCATAGCCATCCAGCTCCCCATGGGGAGATCAGTCCTGGGAGAGGCTGAGGAGCAGAGAGGGAGCAAGGGACTCCCGTAGCGGACAGGCAGGACTGACTAGACACTGCAGAGGGACGATTTGCTCCCTCGGCCAGCAGGGAAGCCATTCTCTGCGGGGGACACCGACCACGAGTGACCCATCTGAGAGGGGACTGCAACCCACTTCAGTCTCCAAATCCCGGTAAGGATGCTGCCTTGATGTTAGCCCTCAGCTCATCTCACTGTGCCAGGCGCTTGGGGCCCTCGGTTTCATGGTGTGACCCTGTAGGGGTGTGAGGGTCTCTGTACCAGGACTGACCCCATATGCAGGCATCTGAGGATACAGGAGGGAAGATCATGGTGAGGAAGATGTTTGCTTTAGCACTGAGATGTCTTTATGATGATGAGGGACTTGGCACTGGGATGGAGATGCTTGTTGTCCCCTTGGAAGGTAAATTGCACCAGTTTCCAGCCTGGAATAGGAGGGCAACACCTCCCCTGAAGGACCTGGAACTCATGCTCAATAGATAGCCCTGCATTCTCGGTGCGCTCCTGCATACCTCTTTGCAGCTGGCTGCTTCGCTGGAGCAAGAAGGAGCCCACAGAAAGCAAGGGACAGAGCAGGGTAATTTTACCCTGGCCTTTGATCTCCATTGCAGGAGAGGGCGATCATCTCTGTATCCGGCTCTGCAAGGAGCTCAGGGTCACCAGGGTGAGCGTGCAAGGCCAGCCCAGGGGATTACACAGGGACCAAGGGATGCTGCCTGTTAATACTCTGCCCTCCCTCCTGCACTTTTACCTTTTCTATTTACAGTGCTCTCCCAGCTATGCAACTCACAGAGAGGCAGCTCCCTCCCCAGCCTGGGGGAATCTACCCAGAGGCTAGAAAATGAGGGATCCAACTCCCCTTTCCATCCATTCCCTTCCATCACTCACACCTCATCCCCACAGGGAAGTGACTCAGGTGACTTTTCAGAAAGGACAGTCACCCAGGATGCTGGGGGGGGG